TCTCTGTCTCACGCCCCCCCCACCTCCCCCCACCCTCCCCCACCCCCCACCCCCCGTCTTTCTCTTTCACTCTCCCTCTCAAACAAAGTCTTCTTTAATTACCTTAACTTATTCGATTGATTGATTTTGATATTCATATCGCGCCGGTATCCAATGCCATTTTAGCTTTGCTCACTGCGCTCTGCTCACTGCTCTCTGGTCCTCCGAAATCTATTTAAATTAAAAAAAAGTTTTTCATTGTTTCTTAAATGATTTTTTTTTAATCATTTACAATTCCCCTCAAAGATTGAGGCAAACTGTTCCATAATTTTGGGGGCGCTATCAGCACTATTTAGAGCATACACCTTTACCCATTGATGCTACTTATGTCGTTGGACACGCCTCTGGGACGTCCAATGATAATATATTCTCCTTTTTCCCTTAACATCTATCAGCGATACTTGTTCCAAAATAACACTCGTACAGGAGTCGGTTTAAGATCCCCCCCCCCCCCCGGGGGGATCACTTAAAACACAATGTGAAATCCACGCGTCTATATCATGTTGTCAAGCTTTTCTGTACCATGGCTTTGTCAAACAATTTTATTTTTAAATATGCTTATAAAAGGAGCTGGATTAAAAAAAAAAAAAAATAGAGAGAAAACATGTAAGAAAAGTTTTTGCTGGAAAACTTCCTCAACAATTTCATTAACAAAAATACTAGTTGTATAATGACAAATGTAAACTAAAACAATTGGGAGTGGGGGTGGGGGGGTGGTGTGACAAGGTGATGGGGGTGACCAATAGCAACGGAAATGGGGTGCATTAGGGGGAAGCGGGGCGTCGCGTGGCTAACCTTGAATAACACTTTTTTTTTTGTATACGTCATGTCTTGAAGGGGTGGCACTTTCAACCAACCACATTTTTTTTTTTACTTTAAAAAAAATGGTACGCCAAATTATTGGGGGGGGGGGGAGGCTCACCAGGCGGCTCTAACCATAGCAACGCCCCTGGGGGAAATGACGGGTGAAGGTCATCTGCTAGCTTGAAGACGAGACAACAACGGAATATTGGAGAAAATAGAACCGACGTCAACACGAGTGTCAGATGGATGGACGGTGGGGGGGGGGGGGGGG